CATGTATCAAGCCAAAGTCTAGGCATTCCTTTGAAAACTAAAATCATCTCGTAGTCAGTTTCCCATTACATTCGTTTATATTCACAGTTCCTGGTTTAATTTAAAATTTGATTTCTCTAATTCTGTTCAAATTAAGAGACAAAATACCAATGCAGCAATTTCAATGAATGGTAAAAATATCAGGGAAGCATTTTTTAAAAGCGTAGAGAACCACTGATTATACTGGTAAAACAATTATTGACTTAGAAGCTATTCACCTCTACAAATGATTAAGACTATGCCAAATTCCATGGAACCTTGAAATAGTAACCATATAGAGTTCTCTGTTTTGGCTTATGAAAGCAGTAAATACAAAATGTTAAAGTGTATTAATCAAAATATCTATTCATTATTATTTTCCCCAAATCCTGTAACTCAGAAGAAAAACAGTAATTATCATAAAAAGAAACACACAGGAGGTACTCTCTATCTTTTCTTCTAGGAAGTTTATGCTATGTTTGTTTCCCTTTTTTTTTTCTTTCCCATGGCATCTATGTCTAATGCTCTTTTCTGGGAGGGACTAAAATGTGATAAAGCTTAAATCATAAACACAATTTTTAAAATAACAAGAACATAAGACAGTAACACTACAACTTGGTCTCTATGAAAAGGCTTAGTTACTCACAAAAATCAACCAATGATGTTGATACACCTTTCTATAAAGGTAACAATGTCAGAGATAGAAGAATCTTAGGGACCAAGTGGTCCTATTCTCTCATTTGGCACATAAGAGTAAGGTGATTTGACTAAGACTGTCCATTTACCTAGTGACAGAGCAGAAACTTGAAATTGAGGTTACCTATCTACTGGGCCCATACTATTTGCATTATATTTTCTATTATAATTCTGTTTAGATGTAGAACAGTGGTTTGCCATCATGACTATGCAAAAAAAATCACTTGAGAAACTTTCAAACTATACAGATGCTGGCTCAATTCATGATTTAGCATACCTAGAAACAGGTCCCAAAATTTGTATTTTTACCCCAAAGCTCCCCATCAAGATTTTGAATTGCACTAAGTGTTAAGAATAATTGTGGCTTAGAACAAGAGAGTAACCTTCTCTGGCACTATGACAAGTCACTAGCTCTAGAATAACCTATAAGAAATTTTCCAACTCTCATCTGCCTCTTTTGAATTTGTTAAGGAATGTATCATTTCAACTGTAACTATGCAAGCAAGCCCTTTAAACGTTTGTATTATTTTTTACCTTTCCTCTGATCACTTCAAGCTCAGATATAGATAAGCTATAATTAAGACCTTTATGCTGCAGGGATTGGGGAATTACTGGATTTCTAACACATTTAGGGAAGAAGTATCAATACTTTTGTTGTTGAGGATATTCAACTATTCAAATCACTAGGAAGACCAGATATAAGAATAGAATCTTTCACTATGACATGTGCTGACCACCAGGGGGCAGTGTGGAACGAAGGAAGGCCCCAGCCAGCATCTGGCAAGCAGGGAAGGAAGGCCCTGATTGGCCCTGATTACCGGCCAGGTCTATGGACCCTACCAGTGCACAAATTTTGTACACTTGGCCTCTAGTCCATTATAAATACACCAGAGGGCCAATGTATGGAGTTTGTGCAAGGGTAGGCCTTCCTTCTCCCGGCTGCTGGCACTGGCTTCCCTCTGACATCCGGGACCCGGGCTTCCCTCACAGCCCTGAATTTGTCCAGAAGGTTGTCGAGAGGGATGTCCTGTCTAATCAGCATATTAAGGTTGTTTTATTATTATAGACTGCCTTCCTAGATCAAACATATATAATTGCTGAAAAACAAATTAATTTATATCAAACTACTTAAAATGAGATGGTTTGGATAATTTTTGTTGAGATAGAAAGTTAGGCTTAAAGAGAATTACAATATATTTCAGGTTCAAGAGTACAAAATCAAGTTGTCCAACCAAGTAGAGTAGCCCCTTCCCTAGGTACTGGAATTGATTCCTAAAACTCTCATTGCAGGGGAATTTGTACTGAAAGAATTTATGAGCTTTGGGGGGAAAAAATTGGTCAAGGAAAGGAATATTATTAAAGCTCAGATAATTGGTTTGTTCACTGAAATAAAACACCAGGTAAAGTGAATTTTGATGACATTTTACTAAATTTACATTAGCAATAGTGATTATTGGACAATTAATTCCTATTTCACTCTGATCTCAAGGTGAGGACAATCATGCATCAATGAAAATGCTGGTCATCACAGTAGTGAGATGAAAGAATTGAGAAAATCGAATTTTGTCTGCAGATAAATAAGCTCTGTCTTCTCCACTTTCATCCTCTGCACCTGGATCACCATATCATCGGCTCTGATCAGATTCTGAATCCCAGAGTTCACATTTCTGCACACAGCCTTTCTGCCTGCTGTTTGTGGAATAGGTTTGAATGACTTGACCCGATCTCTTTTCCCCTGTGGAGCAAAGCAGAGAGACAAGACTTATTGACCTTTGTTTGAAAGTTTCTTATTTCTATTTTACAGGGTTATGAGTAATTACTTAATCCTTACCTGGAGGTCAGTAAATATTCCACCGAAGGATTTTCCTCTGAATCATGGAGACATTTCCATTTGTAGTGTAGCTACTTCAACATTTTTCCAGTTCTGCATAATAACCTACCTCTTTTATCAAGTTTCAATGTGATCACATCTCTGAAATTTTTCTCAAATTCCAACGGTGAGAATCTAACAGTTCAGCAACATCACCTAATTCAATGTCTTCAAATCCTTTACCACCTAAAGGTTTTGCAGACAATAAAATATTTTCGATTTCTTCTACCACTGGAAGGAAACTTGCAGAATCAGTTACAACCTTATTCCAAAGTTTCTGCCAAGCTCCCTTAAGGGTCGATCATTTATTACTCTCACTGCTTCTACTTTTTAAGTGTTACAAAGCAGAAATTTTGCCAAGCTTCTTTCACAGTAAGTTTTGGTGTCTCTCTCTTAAGATCTGTAAGGTAGTCAACACACACTGAATATAGCACATCATGAACATTTTTGTACTCCCAGATGCATGGATTGAAGTAGGGTAGTGATAATGGGGGAGATGGAGATGACCTTATCACAAGGATCAGAATTTACTATTATACTTTTGCCAAGGGGAGCAGTGTCCAGAATCAGCAACACTTTTTATTTAAGATATATATTTTTTGGTTTAAATATTGTTTAACATCAGAAACAAAACACATTAAGAACAAATACAGTAAGACCTCGATATAACAGACTAATTTGGGTGAGGGAGTGACCTTGAAAGCCAAAAGTCTTATATAATAAAGTAGGTTTTCCAAGTGCATTTGTTTAAAAAATGGCAAATTAATTTAACTGTTTTTTACTTATGTACTGGTAGATACATTTGTGTAATTAAAACTAAGTATGTATGAAAAGTTTAATTTCACAGAAAACTTTTCTATATGTATTATTGTAATTTTAAATTTATACTGAATAGATCTAGTATATGGGTACATTCACTAGTCACCAGGAGTAAACAAATGCACACAGCTGGGGCAAGGCTTAGCTTACTTCGGAACACCAGCCATCACTCATTAAAAGTGCTACAAATGGGGGCATCTGTAATACTCGCAACAATAAAGATACATTAAAAAAAAAAAACTGCTACAGAAAGTCATGCCACTTGACAACAGAACCCATTACAGTATGTGATGCGGTGCGATCACATGCTAATCAGTCACTGAATATTGTTTACCAAAGTGACTCTTAGATTTAAATGTGTAGAGTATAGCTGTAGATATGTAATATTTCTTTATGTTGGTGAAATTACTACAATGTATTTTTGAACATATAGCCTATTTGCTAAAATTTGTTAAAAATGACAGTGAATTAATAACAAAACATCCCTGTTAATTTAACTATAAGCAAATCTTGGTTTAAAGCATTTTAAAATTGACAGGGTGATAATTTTCACATATAACATAGGAACAGGACATTTGTCCATAAAATTTGAAGTCTGTTAAATCAAGGTCCACAAAATTGAGGGTTTACTGTACAAGGGGTGGTTCTCAGTCCAAATTTTATGGTTTCCTCTTCTCGTAGACAGAAAAATGTTTATCACATTCTCTTATAAGAGGATACAGGTTTTGAAATCTGTGAAGCAACATGGGTTTAATAGTCACCACAAACATTGGAACAAAGCAGATCTTTTAGTTTGTCTTTTCTAGGCTTGAAACTGCAGGTCTTTTTCTCATCTTCAACAGATGTGCAAATAAGTACATACTTCCAGAATAGGACCATTTCATCAGCTTTGAATACCTGCTCTGGCAAATAGCCATTTTCCTCCATCAGTTTTTCCAGGTATTCAGGATATTCTGTAGCAGCTTCATAATCTCCTTCTTTTGCCAGATACTTTTTTCATACAGACATAGCATTTATTAAACTTATTCAACCACCCATTACTTGTGATGAATGTTATAACTTTTCATCTAGATTGAAATTTAAATTTGCATATTTCGGGGATGCTTGCTGGCAGATTATATATACAGAAAGAGAACTATTTAGCCCTCTCTGTTTCAGAATCCACAAATACAAATCTCTTCACATTTCCTCTATTTTGACATTTCAAGTTCTATGTGATTTTCATAATTATTCCTGTGTGTCCCTCAACTCACTAGCCTTATTAGCTTTCTCATTTTCTTCATTGTATGAATTATAGATTCATTAACATAATAAAACCCACCCTAGAGGTCTTTTTTTTTGACAGCTAAAACTAATTTTTATTTACAAAGAACATTCCCCTTATCTTGTCCTTGCTACTCAACACTCACAAACAAATCTGTACAAAACTACAAACACAGAAAAGGACCAGAGAGGATGTTCTGATACAATGTCTTCGGACCTATTCTAGGCTGCTGTCCTCACCAATACCTCCCCACTAATAGAGCTGAGAGCTCCTAGGTCCACTGGGGAAAGTAATCTTGGATCATCACCCCTGCTTTGCTAGGATAACCCCAGGTCACTCGCTGTCAAACTTGATTGAATTAACCTGAACAGAAATGGAGCCTCCCAGGTAACTGCCCCACTTCTTCTTGGTCTTCTCATGCCCGAAGGATTTGCCTTTGGTGAACTTCAGGACCTGATTGGCTCGTTCCCCCCAGTCTCCGGCTGCACCTCGCTTGGCATCAAAGGAGTTGTCTGCCACTCGAGCATCCACCTCAATTTTCTCCTCCCTGATCCTTCGGAATGGGGATGATACCCTTTTTTCTGCTTTCTTCCTTTTTGGAAATGTGTTAGGGGTCTGAGGGTTTATCTTCTTGACTGGAGGAGTCTCTGCCTCTGTGGCAGCCTCATTCTGCTTTCGTTTCTTTCCTAAACCTGGCTTAGAAACTGCTACTGCTGCCTTGGTCTTTCCTTCCTCCTGCTTGTTGCTGTTCCTATCTGCTTTCCCATTCTGGGCAGTCGGTGCAACAGTGTCATTGGTTTTGAGGGCCTGTGGTTTAGGAGTACCCTTGCCCTTGGGCTTCTCCTCCTCTTCCTCCTCCTCTTCTTCACTGGAGTCATCTGAAGAACTGCTGCTGCTCTTGGTCTTTATTGTCTTTGTGGAGGTTGGCTTGGTAGGGGCTACAGCTCCTGCTGTCTTCTGTGGCTTCTTTTTAACTAGGGGTTTAGATGCCTTCTCTTCCTCCTCTTCCTCACTGCTAGAGCTGTCTGACTCAGAGCTGCTATCTCCACCATCCTGAGAGGCCTGTTTGGCAGGCACAGATAGCGCTGCTTTGGCCATCACCTTGGCCTTAGGTGTGGTCACTGTCTTCTTCGCATTCCCCATGTCCTCCTCCTCCTCCTCACTAGAACTGCTCTCCTCCTCACTAGTGCTGCTATCAGCCTTTCTGCTCAGAGGCTTCTGGCCACTGCCTGCAGGCTGCTTGAGAGCTGTGGCTCTCTTAGCTGCAGGCTGCTTGAGAGCTGTGGCTGTCTTGGCTGCAGGCTGCTTGGGAGTGGTAGCTGGCCTACTTGAAGGATTTTTGGTGGCACTAGCTGACTTAGCAGGAGCTTCCTCCTCAGAACTGTCAGAGTCTGAGCTGTCGGAAGAGCTCTCTGCTGTCTTCTTTGCTGGAGCTAGTTTAGTGGCTGCTTTAGAGATGACTGGCTTAGCTGGCGGCTTCTTTTCTTCTTCAGAACTTGAATCAGATTCATCACTGCTGTCATCACTGCTCTCTTCAGGCTGTTTCTTCTCTGCAGCTTTCTTGGGAGCCTGGGTTCCCAGGGACTTTTTGGGTGGGGAAGCAGAAGGCGGAGGGATTGAACTATATGGACCTGGTATTTTCTTCATGGGCTTTTTCTGCTCCTCTTCCTCCTCCTCACTCGAGGAGTCCTCACTGCTGGAACTGTTTTGGGTAGGGGCGGCAGCTGCTTTCACTGGAGCCTTGAACACTACTTGCTTTTTAGGCACAGTCTTTTTAGAGATGGCTGCTGCCTTCTCCTCCTCTGAGTCATCGCTGCTGCTACTGCTGCTGCTGCTGCTACTACTACTGCTAGCTGCTTTGCCACACGCTACTTTAGGTGCTGCTCGAGTGGGGGTGCCTGGTTTGGCTGGGGCTTTAGCCTGAGCTTTTGCCGCCACGGATGTTGCCTTTGGCTTCTGGCTCTTTGGTGCCTCATCTTCTGAGCTTGAGTCAGAATCAGAATCAGAGCTCTCGGCCTTCTTAGGAGGAGTTTTGACCGCCTTGGTTTGGGGCTTAACTCCCTGGACAGGCTTTGGCTTTTTGTCCTCCTCTTCCTCCTCCTCATCACTGGATTCTTCACTGCTGCTGCTCTCTGATGCATTGGCTGAAGCCTTTCCAGGATGCTGAGGGAGACTGGCACGCTTGGCAGGTACAGAAACTTCCTTAGCTGGAGGCCCTTGGGCTTTCTCCTCCTCACTGCTGTCTTCACTGCTATCACTGGATGAAGTCTTTTTAGCCTTCTTAGTCACTGGTCCAGGTACATTTGCTTGTAATTTCCGCTTTGGAGCCTTGGTGGATTTACTGAGCCAGAAGCTATAGATGTCCAAGAGGGAAGAGGCATTGGCATCCTGCTGGGTAGTGCCTGTTGCCTTGGCGAACTTCTTGGCCACCTCTGAGAGTTGGTTATCGTGCAGAAAGCCGAGCACAAGGGGATACAGGTCGCTGGGAACCACACGGGGTAAGCCGGTGTCCTCCATCCTCCGGGCAATATGTGTCACTACCGCTGCCGATGCAAACGACTCAGGAACTCGGGAACTCAGCGAGGTGGGGGAGGAGCCCATCTTAGAGGTCTTGGTTCCATTGTTATCAAGCATTTCAACAACTCTCATTTTGTTTGCAATAGACATCATCTTTCTTGCCCTCTTCACTCGTCTTGCATTTATTCCTATCCCCCTACGTTTTTGCTTTTTTGGTTGGATGCTCTTCTTACCCAAACATATGTAAATTTACAATTAGTGACTGTTTCATATCACTGAGTGGTACATAGCACTAATTTGGAATATCTGAGAAACAAATGACAACATTCACCTGAAAAATAAAAAAGGACAAAACAGCTTTTGCATGACTACACATGTGTGACTGACAGCTGCAGAAGGAGCAACAGACAAGAAAGAACAAGGGTAGGGGCAAGCAACAAAAATGTTGGTCTCATCACAAGAGCTAGTCAGCAAGACAACATGATGTTGACTTGAACTTGCATATTGTTCCAAAATTCTCAAAGATGTCAACTAGGTAAACTCAAAATTTTGTATGAGAATGACTTGCAGTTGTGGAGAGATCACAGAATTCAAGAGTCAAGGTCAGGCCACCAGGCTGAGATGCGAAGCACAAATATCACCATCTAGAAGAAAGCAGACACAAAAATAGGAAATGAAGGCAGGAACAGAGGCAGTCTGCATAAGTAGATTATAAGTTAGAGAGGCAACAGAAATTTGGAATAATAATAATAAAATATGCCCAATTGCCCTTAGAAAAGCTGAACCAATTTGCATGCTCACTAACAGTGAATGACAATCCTTTTCTCCCATATGCTTACCAACATGAAATATTACCAACCATTGTAATTTGTGCCAAGAAGAAGGTGAATAACAAGATATCTCTCATTTATGTTTTGATTTTCATTTCTTTAATCATCCTTCCATACGGTAAACCATTTCCATGTCTTCATCTTTAAATTGTCTGTTCATATACTTTGCCCATTTTAAATTTTTTCTTACTGATTTATGGGAAATATTAGCATATTGGGGAACTCTTATTTTTTTTTAAATACATATTTTATTGATTTTTTTACAGAGAGGAAGGGAGAGGGATAGAGAGCTAGAAACATCAATGAGAGAGAAACATCAATCAGCTGCCTCCTGCACATCCCCCACAGGGTTGTGCCCACAACCAAGGTACATGCTCTTGACCAGAATCAAACCTGGACCTTGGAGTCCAAAGGCCAACACTCTATCCACTGAGCCAAATTGGTTTCAGCGGGAACTCTTATTTTTAATTCTTTGTTGCAAACATGATGCCAAGCCTGTCAATTATTTTTAAATTTTATTTATTTTCTTTTTCCATAAAAATGTTTCACATATTTATGTAGTCAAATGTTTCATACCTTGCTTTGAAAAGCTTCTCCCTCCCTAAGATTATGTTCACCTGTTTTCTGTCAGCATTTCAACCAGGAACAAGGTCTGTTATTTATTACTGCTACACCTTGCAAGGATTTGTATGTACAAACAGGATTGAATTCATTGCAGCTTTTGTCATGAAAGGACATTTGGTCTTAAGGGGTTTGCTTTTATACAGCTGTGCAGAGCTATTTTCCTTCTTCAAAAATCTTAAACACACACATATTCAAGTGGTGAGCTCAAAAAGTATGGACCATCAGAATCATTTAACACTTTAAATGGTAATACCTATAAATGGTAACCAATGATGAGACTTCCATGAGAAATCTTATTTTTTTCAAAATTTATAAACTACCCATGATGCTTTTACTAATATGATAAAGATGCCATTCAACTGACTTTTTAAAAAATACATATTTTTATTGATTTCAGATAGAAAAGAAGAGGGAGCGAGAGATAGAAATATCAATAATAAGAATCATTGGTCGGCTGCCTCCTGCATGCCTTCTACTGGGGATTGAGCCCAAAACCTAGGCATGGGCCCTTGACTGGAATCGAACCCAGGAACCTTCAGTTCACAGGCTGATGCTCTATCCACTAAGCCAAACCAGCTAGGGCTCAACTGACTTTTAAGACAAAAAAGCAATAATAGAGCATTTCTAAAGTAAACCTGCATGATGCAAATTTTCAGAAATTTATTCATTCTCCTCAATCATCTCATGCTGACAAAAAGTTTATCATGTACAAGTCTGTGGTAATAGAAAAATGAATTGATTTTTTTTTTTTAAAAAACTTTGATCTCAATGAATTTAGTCTTGTAAGGAAAATAAATATAACATGGTATAAGGTAGAAAGCCACATTCCATAGAGTTGAAAACAGGCCCCTTCTTATCCCTTATCTGAGGAATGGTATAATTTCCTAAGTCATCTGCCTGCCATTCAAGCCTATCCACCATACTGCCTCTTAGAGCAACCTTTCTAAAATAGGGGTCTAATCCAGTACTTTCTCCACTTTAAATGACTCCCTTGAGTTCCATGGCTTACTGAATAAAGTCCAATCTCGGTCTGTATGATGGTGCCTGCCTGCTTTCCCATTCTTATCTTTTACTACCTCTTCATGTCAGATAGTTAAGGGGCTATATCAATCATCTAGATTTCTTTAATATTCAATACTAATTCAAGCACCACCTCTTCCAGAAAGCTTTCCCCACTTCTCCAGATAGCTCTGAAGCAGTGACAGGAACTCTTAGAGGTTCCTTCCAAAGCTTAGTATGATTATAGCATTTTGACATTTCACTGTAGTTACATCTGTTTCCCTGTACTTTAATCATTTCTGAATGGCTTGACAGTATCTGGAACAGAATAGATCATCATCTATTTATATAAAAGCCTAAGCAACCATTATGAGAGAATGACTGGAGCAACTGGTTGCTATGATGCACACTGACCACTAGGGGACAGATGCTCAAGCAGGAGGAGGGGGAGGGAGGTGCAGCAAGGCCTGGAGACGCATGCTATGGCCTAGGGATCTCAGGTACCACAAGCCCCAAGCTTGCTTTCCAATAAAAAGTAAATAAATTGGGGGGCGGAGGGGTGGAGGAAGGGGAGTGGCTGTACACTGCTACCCTGGGAAGAGCGGCTCCAGGAGGGAAAGGCCTTCCCAGGCCCCACCTGTGAGCCAACTGACTGGTGATGTGCAGGAAGCACAGCTCCTCTGACTGCAAGGCCAGTGACACTGACAGCTGCTCCCCATCCTGCTCCATGGAAGATGCAGAGCTGCCTGGCCATGCTGTGTCAGCTCCAGCTTCTGGCTTCTGGCTACCTGCCTGCCCTTCCCTTTCCTCTACTATGTGCACTCAGGGCGTGGTTTTGGCCTCCCCAGCCAATAGTGCAGTAGCACAGCCAGAGTGGCAGGACACAACCACCAGGGCTGGCTGGGCATTGATTTGTCAGTGTACATGTTTACATTTCTAGGGAAGCAGGGCAGCCCATTCCTGCCACCTGCCTCACCTTCTAGGCCAAGAAAGGCCTACTGATCTCCATGTTTCTCCTCCGGTCCAGAATCAAAACCTCTTGGAGATGAATGATTACAGCGATGGCCCCAACACATGCTCAGTGTCACTGTCACAGACATTCCCAGTCATTACAGCCCATTCCTCAGCCCGCAGTGCCCTGTTCCACTTATTGCCACTCCTCACCTGTCACCCCCTGAGGACCACCTTATGTTATCCTATTTGAAATGTGGGCAAGATCTCAACTGCCCCCCTGTCCTTTTTTTTTCCCCAATAGCTCCCTTGCCCTACCTTTCTTCCTCTAAAAACCTCGTATTTTAAAAATATATATTTGATTGATTTTGGAGAGGGAAATATAGATAGAAACAACAATGATGATAGAGAATCATTGATTGGCTGCCTCCTGTACAAACCTCCCGTGGCCACTCCCTTTGGCCAGCAAACCTCCCAAGGTCCCTCCCCCAGCCAGCAGGCCCCAGTGGCAGCATGGCAGTGATGGAAGGAGGAAAGGAGGGAAGGGGGAAACTACGGGGTAGCGGGGTGGGGAGGGCCACAGTGGTGTCTGGCATTCGTTCCTTCCATTCCAGGCCCTGAGACCATCACATCCTCACTAGACCTTTGGGCCCAACCCACCTGGCCAGATCAGCCCTGATCACCTGCCAGGCCTAGGGACCCCACCTATGTATGAATTTTGTGCACCAGGCCTCTAGCTTTATTACATAAATGCTTACAGTGGAAAGAATAAGAACTGCATGCAACACTCACAAAAAGGTTATCATTTAAAATGAACCTTGAAGAATAGGTAGGATTTTCAGTGTGTGGAGAAGGGGGCAAGTGAGTGGGAAGTGAGAATTAGGTTACATGAGGCTAAAACACAGTGGAGAGGGGAGCGGTGTCCAAAGTGGATAGTAAAAAACAAAAATTGGAAAAGTATGTTGAGGCAAATCACAGAGGGCCCGAGAAGCCTGTTTTCTTTGCTGAGATGAAGTTCTGTTAATGTTTACAATTAAAAAAAAAAAAAAAAAAGCAGGGGTTTGCAATAAATCAGTTCTATTCTTGTTACTAGGTCTCAACACAAACGTTTCTAAGGGAAAAGGTCCTATTTGTATACTTATCACATTGTTCTTTTGTTCTTGCAATTTAATTTTTTATAACAAAGACAGTCATGAAACATCTCCCCTTTTCTTCAATAGTTTGATGGGTCACTAATCAAATAGACATCCACAAATTCTTAATAATAATCTATTTTTCACATTAAAATTTCATAGAAAATTGTGCATATTTCTTACCGAATCCAAGTCTTTTTTTACAGTTTTGAAATTTCCCCCCCAAAAAAGTCTAAGTGGAATCTATGCTGCTACAGTGCCCTCTGCTGGCTCTAGCATGGAACAGCTAAACCCTAGACAGGGAAGGAATGCAAAAGGCAAGTTCATCTAAGGTGTATCTCTCTTGACAGGCCTGCAATGTCTTCCCCTTTCCTGTTAAGCAGAATGTTGACCTGATGAGCTCCTCAAAGGAATCAAACTCATCTTAGAAGGCCAGGAATAGGGCAAATGTTTTGACAACTTCCATTTTCCCCCTCATCTTTTGGGGAGCTAGCTACCCCGAAAACTTCCAAAGATTTTAAGAAAAAGCACATTAATTTGAATAGTTTCCTGATCTCCTCTATTTGTTCTTTCTATTTTCTCATTTCACTCACCTGTGTAAGAAAAAAATGAAGTA